CTCCCTCCCTCCTTCCTTCCTTCCTTCCTTCCTTCCTTCCTTGGCTTACTTATATTCTGCCCCCTTTTCCCCCTCTTCTCCTTTTTTCTTGAGTCCTCACCTGAGGACATGCTTAGAGGGAGGAAGGGAGAAAGAGAGAAACAGAGAGAGAAACATTGATGGGCTGCCCTCCCCACACCTGCAATCGAGTCAATGCGGCTGGGCCCACGTACCATTTTCAATGGGTAGCCCCAATCCATATGGAATGAAAATGATGCTAAACCCTATGGTTACTTGTGATACAACAGTTAAAATCACCAGATCAAAGTCCAGCAAAGTGTCCATGCAAGCAAAATTTGCGAAAACATGATCACATTTAAAATGATGGCACATTAGTAACTCATGAAGATTTAATAAAAAATTTTGTTCATTCTTCAATGGCAAAAAAAAATCAGAAAGCTTGAACAAAATCCTTCTTCCCCAACCTACAGTGATTGGCCCATCGCCCTCGGGTGGCTGCTATTGTCACTGGAGCTATTTTTTTACCTACTATTTGTTCTTACATTTTAAACTCAAATTTAATTTGGTATCACTGTGGTGTTTGAGAAAGTGGCTTCTTGTGCCATCAGGAGGAGGTTACCTCCAGGAAAACAAAACATTTTGTTAAATACTGGCCAGCCCGGTTGGGCGTGGGTCAGTGGTTGAACGTAGACCTAGGATCCAGGAGATCACAGTTCGATTCCCGGTCAGGGCACATGCCCGGGTTGCGGGCTCAATCCCCCGTCGAGGGCGTGCAGGAGGCAGCTGATCAATGACTCTCTCATCATTGATGTTTCTCTCTCTCTTCCCCTCTCCTTTCCTCTCTCTGAAATCAATAAAAAATATATATTAAAAAAAATTAAAAATAAAGATATATTTAAAAAAAATTATAAATACTGGCCAGTCCATGTTGCCTGCAGAAAGCTAAGCCCCCTTGCTGCCCTGGCCGGTGTAGCTCAGTGGTTAGAGTGTCAGCCCACACACCAAAGGGTCATGGGTTCAATTCCGGGTCAAGGGCAAGTACCTTGGTTGCGGGCTCGATCCCTGGGCCTGGTTGGGTGCGTGCACAAGGCAACCAACATCGATGTCTCTCCCTCTCTCTCTCTCTTTCCCCTCCCTCCCCCTCCCTTTCTCCCTCCCTTTCTCCCTTCC